TCCGCGCCCTCCCTGGAGCCCCGTTTGACATCGCGCACGCTGGAGGCTCCTGGATGAGCAGCGATCCCCGCAGGGGTGGCGTAGCCCCCCGGCCTTCTCGACGCGCGACGCCTCTCCCTGGGCTCCACACTGGATCATGCAGTGCTTCCGAAGGCAGCCCAGGCGCAGCGTGTCCCAGGAAAACATCCTGCGGGAGCAGAGCCGTAGAGTGGCAGCATTGAATGGCATGAGGCTGGGTAAGGGACAAGTTGGCCAGACCCTCGGCACTTCCACATGCTGGCAGCCGCTTCATTTCTGCCTCTTTTCCCTGCGCAGAGGCGGTGCTCCACCCTAAAGGCAACTCCGTGGTTATTTTTAAACTCCCAAGGTTTCTTTTCCTTTCCTTTGCCTGTAACCACCCACCAGATGTGTAAACCACTTCGTTTGAGGCATCAAAGTGGGACCTCTTTGGCAAAGGGTCGGTTTCCAAATCTCTTGCTGAGCTTTTTGAATTGCCGCTTGTTGAGGGTGTTTGGGGAAGGCAGTGCCCTTTTCCTGCCTGATTTTAGGACTTCTCAGTGGTGTATTGCCAGTTGCCGTAAGAGCCCGAGGAACCACTCAGAGGTCTGCATTTGCCAGATGAAAAGAAAGAGGAAACCCAGATTGTTTTGTAGCTTCTGTGGCTGGCTATGAACTCCTTGCTGGTTCCTGCTCTCTGGAGAGACAGCCCGAGTGGATACAAGTCCCTTAATTTCTGTGACTACAGAGGGCAGGTGGAAATGGAAAATCGCCATTTACCCACCCGAGTTCTTTGGATTTTATTGGGAAGGATTTCTGCCCTTTTAAGCTGGCAGACTTGACTTATGCCTGATTTTAAACCAGGTGGGAGAGGGAGAGCGGGCAGGAGGTGGCTTGTTTTGTAGCAGTTGTAATTAATGTATTTATGTCAGATCAGCAGCTTTGCAAGTGAGCAATGCAGAAATACAGATTATCACTGTATTATATGGCATCATTGTACCTATCTCCATAGTGAACTCAAGCCTGGCTTCCTCCGTGACAGCTATTGTTTTATTGTGTTTCCTGCTTGCTGTAAAACTGAGACAGATAAGACAAAGGTCAATATTTTTGATGTCTTAGTGTCTAAAGCTTCATAGTGCAGTATATTAACTTCATGGTTATTGCAGCGCCGTGTTTGCTTGAGGAATTCCTACCTTTGCCAGACATGATTTTCACTCTGAACATTACTGCACACTAAATATATTCTGTTTCTAAAGTGTGTGATTGATATTTTGCCAGGAAGGGGGTCCTGACCCTTGGAAATTTTGCAGGCCAAATATGTATTTGGTATTTCACAGAGGATGCTAAGCAAGGCACAGTTCTGCCACGTTTCAAGCAGGATTTGGACATCTATGTCAGTGCAGTGATTGTGCTTCTCATGTCTAATGTTGTTATATAGTTGGAAACCAATATCCTTATCCTGCTGCACAGTGTGTTTTAGATGATGCATGTGTGTGATGACTCTGGTTTCTTTCATACAAGTTTCCATTACTGTGAGATGGAGCTCTGGACTGCGACCGTCCTCAGCTCTATGGCTTTGTTAGGCACAAATTCTCAGGAGCTGGCTCAGGCATAAAACCTGAAATGAGGTTTCTGCTGAGAAAAGGTGGTTTTTTTTTCCTGGAAAATAATTCCCATGACCAGCTGAGACTAACGACCAGCTGGCACATCAGAGAGCGTTTGTGGTTCTTGTACCAGCAGATCAGAGGGTCTTCTGCTCCATCTATGGCCAAACAAAAATGCTGGTGCTTTTTAGGTAGGAATAGAGAATCTAAGTGACTCACCCAAGGTCATTTAAAGGGTCTGTGGCAGTGCTTGGTCTGGGCATAGCAGGCAGGGCCCGAAACACTGGCCCTCTTTCCCAGCTGGTTTAGGTGCCGGAGCTTGAACTGCTGCTAGACAGACACAGAGAAGGCCTGGAACAGGCTGTGCCCACTCGGTTAAGGGGATGCCCCTCTTTCCTCCAGGCCCACCATTGGGTGATTCAGTCAATACTTGGGTTTACCACTGGCAGAGCTCAACTCTGTGTGGCTGCTCTCTGTCTGAAAGACCTCTCACATCAAGGAATGATGGAGCTGTTGGACATCCATGATTAGTCCTCTCACCCTTTCCTGGCCAAACCTGCTGTATCACAGAGGCAAGCTTGTCTCCATCCCCTCCCTGGCTTCTCTCACTGCCCTCTGACTCAAGCTCCCAGCTATCTTTGATCTTTGCCGTGCTCCCGCAATGCATCATCTGGCTTCATCTTTCGCTCCTGCTCTTGGGAAGTACAGTGGCCTCCTTTGCTGAGTCAGTTCACCTGGCCTGCTCCTCAGGCACAGTGGCCAAGGATGAGTGCGAGGGCTGCTCCCAACCCATAGTTAGGTCTTCTGAAGAGGAAGGGGAGTTCTGACCCACACTAATGCACTGACTGGGCTGTGCTGGTGAGCAGGATGAAGGGCTCTGAGCTCCAGCTTGTATCTGACCTCTGTGAATCAAGTGTGGAGGAGAGGAGTCTGCGCTTGACCACTGCATGTGCCCATCCAGATTTGCCTGTATTACACTGATGCAGCTCTTTGGGATGTCCAGATAGCATGAGATGTTACCCATGCTGCATGTGGTGTCTGTGTAATGAGACATGCCCCATTTCACAGGGGTTTCTCATTACACATTTACGCACATAGGTACCCAAAGGAATTGGTGGGTTTCCTGCTTTCCTCTTCATGTCACCCTAGGATGGCATGTCTTTCTCCTAGTCCCATGATCATGCCTCACATGGTTGGGATCTGAAGAAAGAGAAGGAATGATGCTGGGAGCCAGAACAGGAATGTTGTGGGTGATAGAGCGAAGGAAGAAGTATGTTTCCTGCCCAGGAACCTTGAGGGGTACCACAGTACTGTTAGTGAAGCCTAAGTCTGTGGTATCTTCTCTGCACTTGGAAGACCTTTGCCATGCAAGGGAAGCCTTAACAACACAACTCAGGAGACCAAGAACCTGTGAAGCTGTTGTGGTGTCTGTTGTGGTGGTCTTGGCCTCTCGTCAACCCCTGACCATGCTTGAACCTCAGCAAACCCAGAAGGGTGTCCCAGGTCCCATAGCTGGGCTCAGTCTTTCACCGTTCCGTGCTTTGCAAGATACGGCTTTTTTCTTCTCTTGATGAGTTTCTTTCTGAGGTTTCTAGAGGAGGAAGCATTCAAATTCTCCTCTTGGGAACCTCCAGACCAAATAAGAGCTAGAGGCCCAAGGGATGCTGTAGCATGGGAAGACAATTAATTAATGAGATAAATAGCTAATTGAATGTAGAGGAAAGAGAGAGGCCACAGATGCCTTTTCAGGATCTCCCGCTCCCACTGTGGCACTTTCAACTCTGGGTGCCTCAGCCAGCTCCGCCCTGGCCATACTCCTTGACATCTGCAAAACCAGTAAAGTGTGTGAATGGCTCACTGAGTGGACACTGGACATCCCTAATATTTATCTCCTATGGAGACATCAGTCTTTCTTTGGCAATCAGAAATGATCTTTGGGTCAATGATCTTTAGGTCAGTGTATCCCAGTTACAAACTCATGGTGTTGCTTTTTGTTGCTGCCTCCATGACCCGCCTTGGTGCTCTGCAGGACCTGGCACTTCACTTTGCTGTATGAATTGTCAGGAGTTTGGGGATTTGGCAACTTGGTTCTCATGCTGGATTTTGCTTTTCAAGCAGACCTGAACTGATGTTTGGTAGTTTATTGCCTTGCCCTGTTTAACAAACCGCAAACCAAGCGCCATAGGGGAATGCCACACTGCAATATGAATGTTACTGCATAGATCAGTTAACTTGGATTTCTGCTTTGTGATACACTGTGTTATGTGGCATTGGAAAGTTTCCCATGATGTGTCAGGTGGCTGCAAGAGGCCAAGTGGTTATCTGCATTGTCAAGACGAGTTTAGCAAAAAACCCATTAGTCAGGATGTGCTTGATCAGTACTACAAAGTTAAGTGCTGTTTCACCAGCTTTGAACCAGCCTTTCATGCAATGTCAGAGATGCAAGGTGCCTATTACAGAAAGCCAAGGAAGTGTTTCTCATGTTTCATGCTCTCTACCTCCCCAGCCCACACATTCCAGATCTGTAATTAATGGTTTGTTTGAGGGGCAGATTGTCCAAGGTGTTTATGTATGTGAAACCTGTTTAGGAATGTGTATGTTGCTGTGACATTTGAAACGTTTAGAAAGCCCAATCTGTATTTTCAAAGTCTCAGCAGATGCCTGATCTCTAGATGCTAAATGCCTTTCTGAATCTAGGCCGTGAAATCTGGAGTTCATGGAACCAGTAGGTCTGGTTATTATCACTCGCATTGTGGTGGCCTAGTAGGGTAAGAAGGATAAAAGTCCTCTTGGATACTAGCTGGGAAATTAGGGGAACATGGTTGCTACCTTACTGATGTGATGCTGTCTCTCACCAGACTTATCTGTGTATGTCCTGGGCTTCGTGACACTGATCTTCAAAATCCCCCTGCGGATAGGGGGACTGCTTGCCAGAGAAAGGAGATATCTTTGTGTATTCCTGTTTCCACAAAGGAAATCTGTTGCAGAATGGATTTGAAATCACTTGAAAGTTCCTGACAGTACTCCAATTAAAAGTTACACAACTTTCTTTTGCCTGCTTTTACTGTTATGTTGTTGGTTTTGTTGTAGGCTTTGCCTCTTAACATTAGACTGTATTTGCTGGGAAGAAGATATTTTATGTTTGTAAAGCACTTAAGAATTATGGTACAAAAGCCTTTGGACTCAAATCTAAGAAATCTACAAGGCTCCAGCCTCTTGTGAGCATAAAGTATGACATGACAGATTCCTGAGTCTCTCTGCTCTGTAGTCCTCCCTGGACCTGGCTGCACTGTAGTGTTCTGTCTATGTCTGTGATTAGTGTCCTGTGGAAGGGAAAACCCTATGAGCATCATTTCTTGAGTTGAATCTTACAACAATACAACTACTATTTCTCTGCAGGGCTGAAAGATGACAAGGATCTGAAGTTCCTCCTGAAAGGCAGCCAGCTGCTAAAAGTGAAGTCAGGCTCTTGGAGAAAGGAGCGGTTTTATAAGCTCCAGGAGGACTGCAAAACCATATGGCAGGAATCAAAGAAGATGCTGAGGTCTCCAGAGTCACAGATCTGTAAGTAAAGTTTGCTTCATCATAGGCGTGGGGTTCTGTGGGCAGATGTGCTTGAAGTGAACCAGGACCATTATGCTTGCAGTGTGGAGCAATGAGCCCAGATCCTTCATACCTCCAGTAACACACAAACTGCGTGATGCTGTCAGCTCCAGAGACAGCTGGGAGGAATCTGCCATGTCAGGAATGGCCACATTTCCCAAGCTCATGAGCTACTGCCTAAAATCATTGTGGGGTAGGCCATGCTGGTCTCAGCAGCCTTGCTTGGCTTGTTTCTTCCCCAGAGCAAGAGTTCAGGTTACTCTGATGTCTGAAACCTCACGTGTGATACATGGCTTGAACATCTGTGGTGTGGTATGGTGTGCTTGGGCTGCTGGTCAGGGTTATGGCAGGACACTTCTTTTCCACCTACATTCCCTCAGAAAGCTGGTATTTAAGCCTTACGATGAACCACAGAGATGTCGAGATCCAAGGGCTGGCAGGAGCTATCTCTGGGAAGGAAGGCCTGTCCTCATCTTTATATTGGAAAGTCAGAATCTGCCCCGTTTTTAAGAGTTCAGCTACAGCAGTCACCATTTATGGACACAGAGTAAACCGTTCTGTGCCAGCATCACCCAGCTTAGTGCCATGATTGAGACAAGGATCCCAACTGTGCGATCAAAGTGGGATTGGGGAGGGTGTGTTTATATCTGTTTATGCCTGTTCTTATTTCTCATCCAGTGTTTTTCTGACAGATTTCTCTGTCATTGATCATAGACTTGTAAAGCCAGGAGGTAACTTAATAAAGTGGAATGTATTTTAAGGTATGTTGAAATGTAGAACGCACTGCCCATGTTATTTACACAATCCTTCTGATAACAGTCATAATTAAATAAATGAAGGGTGGGTCTTCCAAAGTACCCCCCTCCCACAAGCAGTGATAAGATTTTCAGGAGAAAGGTAGCAGGGCAAAATATGTTTGGTTTATCACCCTGACAGCCACACTCCTCTCACATGACCTTGGGCACCTCATTTAATCTCTTTGTGCATCCTTCCCCAAACATTTCCTTTTTCCTCCTCTATCTAGCTGTAAAATGCTTCGTATTGGAAGCTGTCCCTTACTGTTTGTTTGCATGCCCAGCATGGCAGGGTCCTGAGCTCAGCTAGGCTGTTTAGGTACCAACACAATAACCCATGAAAAAACCCAGCACATAGAGGCCTTGGGGAATGTTTGCTCCCTTGGAGTGCCTGCTCTGTGGAGCTCTGTCCCATATAAAAGCAAAGTCTTTTCCCAGTGAATGTCTTGGATGGGGCTTGGAGCAACCTGGTCTAGTGGAAGGTGTCCCTGCCTGTGGCAGGGAGCTGGAACGGGATGAGCTTTAAGGTTCCTTCCAAACCAAACCATGATTCTATGAAAGCAAATAAGGACATGAGTTGAGAAGAATGACTTTCAGAATTGCTTTCTTTAGACAGCAGTTTCCAAATGATGGGGGCTGAGAGCACCTCCAGCCTGACCCCACCTGATCCTCTGAAGTAAATGAGAGGGGGTCCCTATGCTGTGGCTCCAGGGACCTTGATGTCTGGTTGGAGAAACTGTGGTTGAACCTATTGCCTCTGTTGCTGGGGCAGTGGCAGAGAGCTGGCACAACTGTGATTTTTTTATATACTGAGCTGTAATAAGAGCCCTGCATCAAGATCAGATCCTTTGAGCTGAGTGTTGAGCAAAGATGGGGAGTGTGTCTATGTGGGTGTACATTTACAGCTCTCACGATACACTTTTCTAACTGAGCACGACCAAAGTTGCCATGCTGCTGGAGACAGAGGCAGTACCACTGCGGGAAGGAGATCTTGCTATGAGCTGGGAGTGTCCTCAGTGCAAAGTGAAGATGGAGGAATACTGCCTACTGACACACACCCCCACGTATGCTCCGTAATGTCTTCATGTATGCACACCTTTTCCCAGATGAAGATTCTTTTCTTTGTCATCAGAACAGCAGGAAAGGAGACAAGGCAGTCGAAGCAGAGTTTGTCCTTGCTGTGCTGAAAAAGCAAGCTCTGGCAGGGCTCCGGCCAGACTGGCTTTGCGCTCCTACTCCCAGTTGACTGCAAGAGCATGTCTGGTGCCAGGCTGACCTACCAGTGTTCTGGGGTAGGCTCTGTCGTACTTGGGAGGATGTGAAGCAGTGCCTGTGGTGCAGGCTTTCAGGAGGGTTGGAGGCCCACCTTGGGGCTGCTTTCAGCAGTTACTCTGGAGACACCTCAACCTGGAAGTCAATGAGAGAGATGAGTACTGACTGCCCAGTCCCATGCCATAACCCCAAGGACATCCATTTTCCCATGCCTTGCTCCTCTCTTGGTCTTCTGAGACCTTCCATTCCCAAGTTTTCAGAGTGGTCTCTGGGTTTGAGTTTCTTTCTTGAGCTTTTAACTTCACCAGGCTGCTTTGGGTTTAGGTATAGAGGGGATTATCCCTGGTCAGTGTCATTTGGCAGGCTTTGTCACTACGGCTGCCACCTTATTTGGTCCAGTGTGTGAAGGTGGTCAAATCAGAGGAAGAGTGCAGGTTCACGATTTGATACTCAAAATCAGGGACTTCAAAGAGAGTTTCTCCAGCCGGTCACCCTTCCTTGTTAACAGACAGTAACTTTGCCCTCCAGTATAAAGCCTTCCTAGAACTTCAGATAAGCTGCCCTTTTTTAGGGAGGAAAAAGAATGAGCAAAATGGAAACTGGAAGGTTTTAGCAGGAGGTCTAATCTTATCTGCAGCATTGCTGACAGCAAGCAAATGGAGACACCTCAGAGGAGAAAAGTCTGGGAAGGGTAAGGGTTATGTTCTTGTGTGGACAGTTTCCTGTTATTCTTGTTACTGTTCTTGTAATCATACAGCAAAGCTATTTGTAAACCATTGTGTGGTGATGTCTAGTAGATAAAACTGGGGACCGCCAAAGTTAGACAGAGAAATCTCAGATGCTTGAAGTTAAAAAACCCAACATAGCAGGGTTGTCACAGGCACAGATGTTGCCTGGGTTGGATACAGGGGTATGACCAGTACCTTCCTCTGTTGTCTTTATTTTAAACAACTAGAAATTTAGACTGGATGCTGCCATGATAGCTCTGTTACCCAGGGCTTTTTCCTTTTAGAACAGCATTGTGACAGGACTCTTTGGGGTATAGGCTGCCATTCCAATATCATTTCTATGCACATAGAAAGTACCTAATCCATTTTTTTTCTTTATTATCCATTATTTTTTGTAATATTTCATTTAGGCCAAAGGAAGGAGTTTTTTCCAAAAACCCTTGAAGCATCTTAAATCTACTGTTTTCCAACAAACATGTTATGCCTTGTGTGTACTCTCTGGCTTGCTCTAGCAAAAACATAGGAATGCTGGCATGAAGAACTACACAAAAGAACCTTTAAAAAATTGTTTTTCACCATGACCTGCTAAATCCTGTGTCTGAGCTGCACAGCAGGTCCATAAACACACTGCTGCTTTCTATTATCTTAAATGTCATGTAGAGATACAGTTGGGGTGAATGCTCTCCTGTGAGGAAAAGGCTGAGAATGTTGGGCATGTTCAGCCTGGAGAAGAGAAGACTCTGGGGAGATCTTAGAGCAGCTTCCAGTACTTAAAAGGGGCCTGTAAGAAAGATGGGGAGAGACTTTTTAGCGATGCCTGTTGCAAAAGGACGAGGGGTGATGGTTTTAAACTAAGAAGGGAGATTCAGGCTGGGTGTGAGGAAGAAATTCCTTACAATGAGAGTGGTAAAACACTGGCACTGGTTCCCAGAGAGGGTGGGTGCACCTGGAGACATTCAGGACCAGGCTGGATGTGGTTCTGGGCAACCTGATCTAGTTGGAGATGTCCTGCTCTTTGCAGGAGGGGTGGAACTAGATGACTTTTGCAGTTTCCTTCCAACCCAAACTATTTTGTGATTTTTTGGCCTGTGAGGCCTTTACGCATGTGATGGCTTTCTTCCTGGGCTGAGAAAACAGGGTTCAAGTGGCAGGATTAATAATTTTGGGGTGAAAAAAAAGTTTGTGTGATGGGGCTGCTAAACAGTTCAATTGGAACCAGTTCACTCCTGCATGTCACTGTGATGGGAGGGAGGAGAGCCGAAGGGGGAAGAGGGGCTTGTGTTGAAAGAGCAGCAGCCTGTTAGTAACACTGTCTTGTTTAGCTATGGTCAAACATCAGGTCTCATCTAAGCGGAAAGAAGAACAAAAAGGCATGTGCTGCATTCAGTGAAATCTATTTTTGAAAGTCTTTTCTTATACCAGCTGAAATCCCTAGTGTGAGCTCATTTAAGCCAGACTCAATTCCTTTAAAAACTGTCTGAACCTGGGGATTTGTAAGGATGGTTGAAACCTTCCAGTGAAACATCTTTTTGAGCTTTTGGTGGAGAAACAGAATATTCAAAGCCAGAGGGAAAAGACTAAATAAGTTATTTAGATGTAGGTGCACTACAGTGGAGCACCAGAGAAGCTGGTGTTTTGCTACCTCCTGCTCTCCTCTGCTGGAGGCCCAGGGGGATGACGTTTCCTATGACAGCCATGAGTGAGCTCCCACCGCACCAAGGATGACTCACTGGGGGGTGTGTCGTTGAATCGAGAGCAGAGTAGTCAGGAAATAAGTTTAGGAGTTTTGGATGAGATGTTTCAGTTTCAGGCCAAAAGCTTTACTTAAAAACTACTATTGTTGTTTGGGTTTTTCCCTGTATTTTCATTTAAAGAATCAGTTTTGGGAGCAATTTACAGAGGTGACCTAAATTACTTGTGCAACTGAGGGTTGCAAATGATAATTGGCATAACGTCATGTGATTGTCATCATGTTATGCAAGTGATTTAAAGTAATGAAATTGATATTTTGATCTAATAATTGATTATTAAAAATGCACAGATTTTGCTCCAGTTCCTCAGACTTCTGACCCAATTATAGGCTATTTTTATATGGTTTAAATATAGTTCAAAAATTTTATGTTTATAGCCTGTTACCAGTGTTCATCAGGAAATTTTTTCCTTCGTT